AATGGCAGATATATTTTAAATTGACAATTACAAATGAAACAGATAGCTTAAACTTACAAAACCAGAAAGTAATTTTGTACATAAACAAGAACAAAACATCTTTGAACATTGAACATCTAAATTATATCTTAGACCTTTGGGAACATTCGAAGAAGACATCTGTTAAATAGTTTTGAATATTTCGAGTAATATATTTGTAATTTAGTCGAGTTATTATGGAAACTATTACGAAAGATACCCTTAGGCTTTATTGGAAATTTCAATTAATGTATGTTAAACATGAACTATGGATTGGCACGTTCGATGAAGTTGAGAAATGGACAAGAAGTTTCTGATAGAATTGTTGAATTGATGGTTAAGATAACTGGAAGGACATTCTATGGGAAATTCGCTCCTATTTAGGTGTTAGACACGTGAAGAAAACTCGGAAAACTCCACGTGACCATGTAAAGCGTGAACCCGCAACAAAGTAGTTTACTAGTTTTATCCACTAATCCCTTATAAGACAGTCATGATAACAGTGTAGCAGTAGTGTAGGTAGAACCGATATTAGAGATGCTAAAAGGGCAATCCTGTATCATTGTGGTTGTATTATTATAAAGATGAGACCTCTCGGATTTTAAATGAATATCTAATACAAAGCGAGCTGTGTCGTATTTGCATGTAGAGACTTCTGTAATTGAAGTTCACATTACTAAGGACATAGGATTGAGGAATAGCGATGGACAGGGTAGAAGAATAACATTGATTAAAAGTAGAGTTGTGTGTTTGTTTGTACTGTACATGGCAATGCAGGTGGGAGATCTCCCAAGAGGAATGCCACCCAGGAAGACTTTCTATGGGACACTGGCACGTATTTAGTTGTTATAAAAGTGAAGAAAATCTCGGGAAACTCCACGTGGCCAGCCTGTTTACGAGGTGCGAACCCACGACCCACTTTATCTACTCCTTCACTGATGTTATTTGTATAGTTTTCTATTTCTTCTAAAAATGGGAATTCTTAGTTTTCTCGGTACTTATTTTAATTAATTGATTAGCTAGTAGCTTTCTAAGTTCTTTGGCGTAAAATTAATAAAAAATTAAAAAGTTAGCTTTAAAATTTTAATTAATTTTTTCTTAATTTTTCTGATTTTATTACCTTAAAACCAGGAAAAAATATTTTTAAAAATTAGATCTATAAATGTAAAAAATAATTTTTATTTTGGAATTTATCTATTAATAAAATTCAAACAAATTTATATATATAATTTTATAAATATTTATTTCAATTTTTTAAATTAATTATTTATGACCATTTATAAAATTTTTAATTAATTTTTTTTAAATTTTCTTTAATTTTATTTTTAATTTTTAAAACTTTTTTTAAAATTATTAATTAAACGTAGGTCTATTAATAGTCTACTAATTTTTAAAAATGTTTTATTGAATTTTTACTTTGTTCGATACTAAAATCTAATTGAATGTAGTATTAATAATTATTAAAAGTACTTGAATAAATTGTATTTTGCTCCTCTATTTTGAAAATTGATAGAGATGTAAGACAGTTTTTAATTGTTAATACTTAATTCTTTGGTGTTTGTCTTTCATGTTAACTAATTGAACAGTACCTAGAATTATAAGGTTTGTTCATTTCATTTAGAAAATGTACACATTTACGTCAATCAGACGTCATTTTTTGAATTTGTTCATTTTAATACTTAAGGTATAATGTCAAATTGTCATTAAAGTGTACACTTTCCGGCCAAAACGAACAGGGCACAGTTTAACCTTGTATCACTTTGGATGAAGAGTAAACTCTTGGATATTGTACAGTACATACTGTACATGTATGTAATTCACATTGAAATCTTTTTCCTATACTTATTAGATACTTTCTTAATTTATTTATTTGCAAGGATGATTCCTGCATTCTAACCTGGTTAGATTTCAGTTAACCAGCCAAGAACCCCAGTAGGAGCCAGGAAGAGCCAGGAACTCCTGACTTTAGTACTAGAAAGTAATTTCACGTTTTAATTTTCCCACTCTCAAGAATATTGAAGAATTTTAATATATTTTATTAAATAATTATTATTTATAAAGGTTCCGCGGTTAGCTTTCAGAACAGGGGAAAGACACAGGAGAAAGCCCCAGGAAGAGCCAAGAATGCTTGGCTGATGTATCAGAAAGTAATTTCATGTTGTAATTTTCTACTTTCCAGAAGAATTGAATAATTTCACTATATTTTATTAAATTATTTATTTAGATGCATGGGCGTAATCAGGATTTTTTGATAGGGGCAAAAATAAAATAACGTTGTTTATTAAAAAATAAATATATATATATTTTTTAATATATTTTTCCACTTTTCCTGATATTATTTTTATGTTTTTTCTCTTGTATCGATTCTGATGTGATGAAGTTTTAATGCGACAGGCAGTAGCTACCTTAAATTACATTTATTGAATAAAGAAATCTTCAAATAAGATTACTTCACATCTAATTTCGGCCAAGTTTCTGTATTTTCGTTCTAAAAAAAAAATTCATTTGAATGATTTGTAATTACGAAAAATACTTTCTAAAAAAGCAATTTTTTTATATTTTCTTTATAAATTATTTTTATTTTCCCGGATGATCGGTCAAAAATGACCCTGTAAAATTTTTACTTTTTTGGACTCAGGAGACTTTAAAACGTCGAGAAATAAAAAAAAAAAAAAAAAAAAAAAATTCGGGAGTTTTTTCTATATGTATGGATGTTACTGTGTGAAGAGGCACGATTATGAAGCTTAATAACTCTTGTACCTTTTGTCGAAAATTCCTGAAATTATGTAGGGATGTTAATGTATACGGGGCGTTAATACCATTAAATTTTAGTGGTGATAGGTCAATGGTTTGGGGAGATAGAGGGGATCAAATATCATATCTCGAATGGTTCGGATGTAATGACGATTTTATTCATTATTAACATTTACAATATTTTATAAAACCCATCCCTATCCTGAAAATTAAGCTTTATGTCATTTTATAATAATTAAAAATATAAACAGTTTTTAATTAAATATTATAACAGATGGTGCCACACACAATTTTAGCTTTGTGCTAATGTGTTTTAGTACTGTAAACAAGTGTTTACTATATATATATATATTAAATGTAAGATATTAAGAATAATTTAGGAAAATTGCAGAAGACAATGTATTTTTTAATGCACTTTTTAAAAATCAAAACTCTCTGCTATTATTTAAATTTATGTTAATTTTAGAACAGTTTTTTTCAAACATTTTTTCAACTAAACCTTTATAAAATGATGGACGAGTTAAGATTAAATCGAGAGGGAGATGGAAAGTAAAAAAAATTTGCTGGAACAATGCACATAGATGATCAATATAAGAACAATTGATCAATGACTAATTGGTTAATCAATTTTTAAATAGAATTAAAAGTAGGATTTTGTTAATTAAATTTATTTATTGATCAACAAAATTAAATGTATAATTTTAATTTCGTTTATAAATAAAAAAAAATATTATTTAATTTTAAAATAGCCTAAGTAACCTAATTAATTAGATTACTTAGGCTAATTAATTAATTAATATATTAAAATAAATTTATTTTAATGAAAACGAACATTTTCTTGTTGTCACAATTCTGAGCTGCAACAATTAATAATAATTTAATTTAAAAAAAAGCAAGTGTGTTTCGGTGTAAACCGAAGTTCTTATATAGTTAATCGGGGTCTCTAAACCCTTAGTTTTCCACATCTGGTATCGATTTTTATCTATCTAATTATATTCTCGAGATTAATTAAGGACGGACAGACAGTCGGATGGAGGTTAGTGGGAATATACAGGTATTCATTTTGAAAATTGCAATCCTATAAAATAGAGTATGAAAATTAGCATAAATGGACTTACGTGGACTTCTATCAACGCAACGAATCATCATTAATCAAATCGATATCATTAACCAATCGGCGTTAAGAAAATCATATCATCAGCCAATCATTCTAAAATATCTTTTTAAATAAAAAGTTAAGCTATAAAGATAAATTTCTAAAGTNCTTGTTGGAGAACAATAAAAACACTACACTCAACAAGCCACCAATAAAACTCAACTGCCTAACCTATAACCAAAGTCTCCTTTTAATTTGTTTTTAAAAAAAAGCGCTTGACAAACTTGCCCCGCATGCCGAAGTTGCCCCGTTCTCCCCTACTTATTGTATGTATGTATATTGTTATTTTTAGAGAAAAAATGTTTTAATGCAGACTAATTAAAGAGAATTTTCTTATAAAAATATAATCGAACCTCCAATAACAATCACCTGTAAATAGCGGTCATTCTCCCAGAAACTTGAACGAAATCGCATATAGAATTACCTGCAAAATAACGGCCGTTTTTTAATGCTTCCATATGTGACCGTTGTTGAGAGGTTTGTCCGTATTGAGAATACTGTACTATTTTTCACGCCAAAACGGTCACCTGTACACAACGGACATTTCGAATATTTTAATAGTAATAACAACATTTAAAATTTCGTTATACAGTAAAACCTGTATAAACCGAAATCTCACCGTACGAAATATTTTTTCCGTTTTGGCAGGTTTCCGTTTTGAACAAGTTTTATTATTTAACATAGAAAATCGCTCCGTTCATAAAGAAATTCTTCCTCTTTGGCAGATTTCATTTTAATTCAGCTTCCGTTTTAGACAGGTTTAACTGTATTCATAAAATCACAACAATTAAAATATAATTTTGAAGTAATTTAAATGGTTAAAAATATGGATTTTTAATCGAAAATTAGTTGTAAGTATGAATTTTAACCTGTAAAGAAGGAATTAAATTTAAAATATGCACAATTTCTGTTGTTATAACTGTTTCTTTTTTTTTGTCTATTTTTTAAAATTATTATCTATTTAATTAATAAACACATAAACTAATTTTATCTTTTATTATTTTTTTTCCTTTCCTGTTTCTTCTGCCTTCTTCCCCCCTTTTCTCGTATGTGTTCGTGGCAAATTGTGCAGAGGACGAAGGCAAACAAGGGGCTTATGGTAGAGGTATGTATAGACAGACCTACAAGATTATATTATCCATTGTATTAACAAGGAATTTAATTCTAATTCTCTTATTTTTCTAATTTATTTTTTAGTATTTACTTAGATAAATTATAAGTTAATCCGTAGAAAGGGGGTGGTAAGATGCCATTTGAAAACGTAATGCCCACATCTTCAATTGTAGGAATATAAATCCAATGTAATCGCTGATGCATTTCTTTCCTGTGAAAGAAGAAGAAATTGAATTTAAATTTAAATTTTTTTACTTCGGAAATTTGAATTTTATATACGAGACAGGCCTCAGAGTTAACCGTTTTAAACAGGTTTAACGTACGAAAGGAGTGTATTAAAATGATTCAGTATGAGAATTAATTCCTCCATTTTGTTAATTATTAACTTGTATACGAGTATTCTCGGTTAACCGACTTTTGGGCCACCCAAAAATTACTACTAACTGAAATTACCTTTTTAAAAAAAAAAACATCTCCCACATCGCTTAAACGATTACTTTTTTTTAAAAGTTCAAGACAAAAATTTTGAAGGAAGATTAAAGATTTATTTTTAATTAGAGTTAAACCTGTATAAGCCGGACTCGTGTTTTTCCGGTTTGGTAAGTTTTCGTTTCGAACGGTTTTTTTTAACACAGAAAATCGATTCGTTCCTAAGAAAATTTCCGGTTTAGGCAAGTTTCCGCTTTATTGAGGTTCCGTTTTGGACAGGTTTTACTGTATAATTTATTTTTAATATTATTTTTGTGCGTTCAGTCATTAGACGTTTCTTTTTTGGTAGAGGTGACAGCGTTTAAGGTTCAGTAATTCGATGAGCGATGTGACAACACTTGGTAGTGAAGTGGCCCAGCTGCGATCTCTTGCCAAAATCTTAGAAATGATAGAATGTCTGTTTTGGAAATATGCCATCCAATCTTTCTAAGAGAACAATTAGCTAGGTACTGTACATATATATATATATATATATTAATACAAGAGATAAAGGACCTTAATGTCTTCCACTGTTATATATGTGTATACTACTCTGATTACTCGGTAATCAGTTCTATTTAAGCTTGTTTAGTCTTCTACTGTCTTTCTTATTTGAATAAATTGTTTAATTTTCGATGAATTATCTTCTTAAATAATTAAATTATATAATAATATCATAATTAATGATAGGAAATAATTTGGTGAGAATTTCTGTGCGTGTACGAATGAATGATCTAGCATTAGTTTTGTGTGCATCTTTGTATGTAAGAGTATTGTATTTATGGCAACAGTTTTGTTTAAAACTTTAATGAAGTGGATATAATTTTATAATTTTGATAAATTAATTTTATTTGTAACTAAATGAATTGATTACGTGTACAGTTTTTCAGCCATTTTTGACCTCTTCTTCGTGTACGATAATTTAGCTTAGTTTTGTCAAATTTCTCTTTGCAATTACGTTTACTGAACTGTACAATAGATCTTTCTGACATTGAAGAAATTATTTTTCAAAAGTTCCGCAAATGTTTTCTAATTATAGTTTACTCACATGGCTAGTACTGATTCGTGTGCCACTAATACCACTAAGAAATCCTCTAGATCTTCTCCCATTCCAGTGATGTACAGTACCACTCGTTAAAACCACTGAACACTCGTAAGTCGGTCGTGGGTTCGTACCTCGCCAACGTATTATTCTCCTGACATTCTCAGGTTCACGTTTGTAACACTTAAATAGGGACAAGTTTCCCTTAGAAATTTCTCCCAGAAGCTATTGCCATATGTTACGTTGCTGGATTTCTTAATACAATGAAACCTAACCAAAATGAAACCTGGATAAAACGGAAACCGCCTAAACAGGAAAAATTATTTAGTACAGAGTGATTTTCTGTTAAATAAACCTGTTCAAAATGGAAACTGCTAAGCCGGAATCGTGCGATTCCGTTTTACGCAGGTTTTACTGTATAAGAAATCTGCGAATTCTTATTTGTACGATTAGCATAAGTGTTACACTATTATGATCCTACGCTCTAAAGAACAATTTCTTGAGGCCTCTGGCAATAGAGGGCCACAAACTAATGCTTTATGAACTCATTCCCGTAATAAGAATATAGAAAGTTAAATTTGGCGCCATATCTGGGGACCCTAAATTGCTGGTTTAGCGCAGGAGCTGGGCAGAACTTAATCCTCCATAGGATACCGGGAGATTCCTTCCAAAAAAAAATGTCTGAAGTCAACACTTTGTATGAGGCCGCCTAATTAAAATTTCCCTTGGTTCCCATGAAGCTACAACGTTCCACCGGGTAAGGATTTTGTTTTAACGTTTAATACTCAATCAGCAATGTTGCATGAAGGTTAGAGATTGCTCCTTCCAGAGATAACCTTTCTATTATAAAAACCTGTCTGAAAAGATCTTTTATCATAAAACCAAGATACTTAACATAGTATTTTATAAGTTTTCTAAACAATCTCAGGAAAGTTGAAACTGTAAATTAACCGAAAGAAAGGATTTAGTAAATGGCTACATTCAAATCTTTATTTCTTCTTTAATATCAAAACTACTTTCGAATACATTTTAAAGTAGTTTTATTTTTTCTTTATAATCATAAAAATATCATTACACGAATAAATCTTACTTTTTATATTCCAGATAATGTTTCTCTGGAAATTCTTTCAGATCAAATTCTAACTTTATAACTTTTTTCTTCGTTTTTTAATTTAAAATTTTCTTTATTTCCTTATTCAAACTTCATTAGACTTTCGATTATTTTTATTTTTTCCGGATGTCATACGTAACGGAGGGGAAGCGTGGCGATAGGTCAAAAAATGACCCCCCCCCAAATACTTTATATTTTTGGACATAGGACACTTTGAAACCTCGAGAAATGACCAAAATATTTGGCGTAACTTCTTTATGTATAGACGTAGTGTATGTGTCTGTGTATATTTTTGTCATTGTCTTTGTCTTTGTCTTTGTGTTTTGTATGTTTGTTTTTGTGTTTTTATCTTTGTTTTGGTGTTTTTATCTTTGTTTTTGTATTTGTCTTTGCTTTTGTGTTTGTTTGTCTTTGTGTTTCAGTGTATATTAATATGTGTGAGGATGGGGTATTTTTATTCACTCATTTTGAGCTTAATAACTCTTATCCCTTTTGTCAAAAATTTCTGAAATTTTACAGGAAGGTTTGTGTATTAAGGGCATTGATGCTATTAAATTTTGATGATGGGTGGGAAGGTACAGGTGTGTCGTGTGTTATATCTCGAGTAGAATCGGATTTAATAACGATTTTATTCGTTATAAGCATTTACAATTTTTTTAATATAACGCATCTCTACCGTAAAAATTAAGCTCTTTGCCATTTTATAATAAATAAATAATATAAAAGTTTTTAAATAAAATCTCGTAACAGATGGCGTCGCACGCAATTTTAAATTTTGGCCGGGAAAGTTACGCAACTCTTTGTTGTATTTGAAGATTATAGTATATTATAAATTGAATTTATAAATTTATTTTGTACATATGGAAGAAAGATCAATTAAGTTTATTTGTTTGACTGGGTAATGGGATAAGACAAGTAGCCGTATCTCTTTAGTAATCTGCCTTGTGATAAGGCCCATGTAGCCTTATCATCTTCCAAGTCCTTCTGGGAGAGACATCTTCCATGGGTCTCTCCCAGAAGGACTTTCTGTAGGAAACTAACCTCTATCTAGTGTTATACTACAACTGTCCAGTAATTTTATCCATCATCGTTATAAGTTCAATATAAATTTGAAATACCGCAAAACTCGATTATCTTGACATTTGGCAATGTAACCGGATAATCGGGATTTTTGTCTAAATCTAGTTTAAAATTACGAATACAAGTTTGACTAAATTCCGCTATATTATATCTAACATCTTACCCATTATCCACCTCTGAATGTACTGTATAGTACACTACATTTTCTATTATCCGGTCTTCCTATTTATCCTGACATAGAATTTTTTTAAAATCTTTTTTTCTACATTTATGCCGGATAAAGTTTTTTAAAAGAAACATTAACAAATCTTCAGAGAAAAGGAACATTTTTATGCTCCAACTTTATTTCCAAACTGTTAAATCAACTTTAAAAAGAAAAATGTAGCAACGAGTTGCATAACTTTCCCGGCAAAAGAATTAAAACTTTTGTGTGTTAACAACTGTTACGAGATTTTTTAACAAAAATTTTTATATTATTAAATGTTATAAACTGGCAAAAAGCTTAATTCTAAGGATAGAGATAAGTTTTACAAGTAATTGTAAATGCTAATAACGAGTAAAATCTTCGTTAAGTCCAACTCCATATGAGATACGATGTATGACCTTCTCTATCTCCGCATCCCGTTGACCTTTTATCACCAAAATTTATCAGAATTAATGTCTCTAATACACGAACCTCTTCGTAAAATTTCAGAAATTTTCGACAAAAGGAACAGGAGTTATCAAGCTTCAAACTGGGTAAACAAAATCGTGACCCTCATACATACAGTAAAACCTTTTTGCATTTCTCGACGTTTGAAGGTCTCCTAGGTCCAAAAATGTAAAAATTTCGAGGGGTCTTTTTCTGACCGATCGCCATTCTTTCCCTCTGTTATACATAACAGCCGGGAAAGTAAACATGCATTTTAAATGTATTGTATCAGGATGTGTATTATCTAAATAACATATTATAACTGGGAATCTCTTCCTACTTTATTTTAAATTACTTTAAATATATTATATTTTATTTAACCTGGATTTTGTTATAAAATAGAATTTTAAATCCTTAAAAAGATAAATTTTTTTGTTTGCTTCAGCTTAAATAAGTTTAAGGAATAAATTTATCTTCTTAAAGATTTAAGAGTTTAAGGTTTAAAACTTTTAACTGCATTTTCTCTTTGTTTTCCGCCATTAAATAAGTTAATACAAAGAAAATTTGTTTCATAAAAAATAAATTTATTCAGATTGATCTTAACATTAATCTGTTTTATATACAATTTTATGAATTTTGTTTCTAAATTATCTTATTTGT